TGCCATTTCCCCTCCCCCAGGACATATTCCGGGCCTTTCCGCACCATCACGGTGCGGGACACGATGTCGGACCTGCCCGAGATCCGCAACGGGGCCTCGGCCCTGGAGATCTCCTACAACGGGGAGCCCCAGTCCTGGTTCCAGCGGCAGATCCGCGGCTCCCAGTACCAGCCCATCCTCAGGGACCACATCTGCAAGGTGGGGGAGCCGGCTGGGGGCTACTGGGAGCAAACTGGGAGCAACTGGGAGCAACTGGGAGCAACTGGGAACAAATGGGAGCAACTGGGAGCAAATGGGAGCAAACTGGGGGCAAACTGGGAGCAAATGGGAGCAAACTGGGGGCAAACTGGGAGCAACTGGGAGCAACTGGGAGCAACTGGAAGCAACTGGGAACAAATGGGAGCAAATGGGAACAACTGGGAGCAAATGGGAACAACAACTGGGAGCAAATGGGAGCAACTGGGAGCAAATGGGAGCAACTGGAAGCAACTGGGAGCAAATGGGAACAAATGGGAACAACTGGGAGCAAATGGGAACAACAACTGGGAGCAACTGGGAGCAAACTAGGGGCAAACTGGGAGAGGGTTGAGGGCTCTCTGAGGGGGAGGGGTTGTCCCCAAGGCCTCCCCGGGGTGACTGTCCCAGGAAATGGGGCTGGGGGAGGGGTTGGGAACTGGTTGGGAACTGGTGGGGCCTTTGGGGACTGGGGGGAACTGGTGGGGCCTTTGGGGAACTGGTGGAACTTGGGGGAACTGGTGGAAATGTTGGGAACTGGTGGAGCTCTTGGGATCCCGGTGGGGCTGTTTGGGAACTGGTGGAGCTCTTGGGAACTGGTGGAGCTTTTGGGAACTGGTGGAGCTTTGGGGAACTGGAGGAACTTTGGGGAACTGGTGGAGCTTTTGGGAACTGGTGGAGCTTTGGGGAACTGGAGGAACTTTGGGGAACTGGTGGAGCTTTTGGGAACTGGTGGAACTTTTAGGAACTGGTGGAGCTTGGGGGAACTGGTGGAGCTTTGGGAACTGGTGGAGCTTTGGGGAACTGGTGGAACTTCTGGGAACTGGTGGAGCTCTTGGGATCCCAGTGGGGCTGTTTGGGAACTGGTGGAGCTTTGGGGAACTGGAGGAACTTTGGGGAACTGGAGGAGCTTTTGGGAACTGGTGGAACTTTGGGGAACTGGTGGAGCTTTTGGGAACTGGTGGAAATGTTGAGAACTGGTAGAGCTTTGGGGAACTGGTGGAACTTTGAGGAACTGTTGGGTCTCCTGGGAAGCTCAGGAGCTCTGGTGACCCCGGTGGGTGCCCCTCTGACCCCCCTGGTCCCGTGTCCCCCCCATCATCCAGGACATGAGCGCGCTGGTGGCGGCGCGGATGCGGCACATCCCGCTGGCTCCTGGCTCCGACTGGAGGGACCTGCCCAACATCGAGGTGCGCCTGTCGGACGGCACCAGCACCCGCAAGCTGCGCTACACCCACCACGAGAGGAAGAACGGCCGCAGCAGCTCCGGCGCCCTGCGCGGCGTCTGCTCCTGCGCAGAGGGTGGGTGGCGCTTCCCCTCCCCCAAAAAAGAACAATTTACGGGGGGTTTGTGTGTCCCTGTCCTCAAAAAAGAACAATTTACAGGGGGTTTGTGTGTCCCTGTCCCCCAAAAAAGAACAATTTACGGGGGGTTTGTGTGTCCCTGTCCCCAAAAAAGAACAATTTACGGGGGATTTGTGTCTCCCTGTCCCCAAAAAAGAACAATTTACAGGGAGTTTGTGTGTCCCTGTCCCCAAAAAAACAATTTACAGGGGGTTTATGTGTCTAAAAACCAGTCTAGAGTGGGTTTGTGTGTGGATTTCCCCCCAGAAAAAATCAGTCTGGAGTGGGTTTGTGTGTCTGTCCCCCCAAAAACCAGTCTGGAGTGGGTTTGTGTGTCCCTGTCCCTAAAAAACCCCCCTCTCCCTGTTGTCCCCTCCCCCACCCCAGGCAAGCCGTGCGACCCGGCCGACCGGCAGTTCAACACCCTCATCCCCTGGTGCCTCCCCCACACCGGCAACCGGCACAACCACTGGGCGGGGCTCTACGGCCGCCTGGAGTGGGACGGCTTCTTCAGCACCACCGTCACCAACCCCGAGCCCATGGGCAAGCAGGTGGGTT